TAGCACGACATTTCGAGAACGGCTCCGGCGGAATCCCCGATTCCCGTCTCTTGAAAAGAAAACTATCCCTGTAACAGTAATCGATTGTCCTAATGCATTATTTAACTTACACTGTCCTCGGTTCGAAGCATAGGCAAATAGTTTTTTCGTGACTCTTCATCGCAAGAGAAAATTTTCTTTCTTCGCATAAATATATGCATTTCTCGATGGATGGCGCACTTGTTCTGAATACCCTCTCCTTATCAAACATGAACATTTGAGGTAGCAGTGGAACACAACCTACGTAATATTTTTGAACAAGAGCTTCAGGAAACCCTGTAAAATACGAACGAGTGTTTTGCACCGCCATACTTGGTTATTTTCGGAAAAACACATTTGAGTAATCCAGGTTTGCTGCGAATTTTTGTTTTAACTTCAGTTAGTTCAAAGCCCGTATGCGCTCCAGGTCCAGGCTCAGCTATCAGGAAAAGTCTATAATTTAAATCGTCGTTACATATATTCTCTACTGACCTTTATGGCATGGTTCTGTAATATGAAATATCTCGATTCTTTTATCTTTATCTTGATGTTTTGTCGCAATATGTCCATGATTGAATATCAGCTAAATGTTTGGAATCATTTGCACAATAGCAAGTTGATTCTATTTCCCGTAGTAACGGTAAGTACTGCAACAATAATTGAGTCAAGATGCACTATAGTCATAAACATATTAAAATATGATTAGATGGAAACGTGATCCCTGATACTTGTATTGCAGTAGATAGAATAGGTTGGGGGTTCGTAAAAAAAGTGATTATTGGTTCGAATTCGAGATAAGGCTTTGTATGAAAGAAAACCGAGTTAGCTCTTGTGTTTTAAACGTACCTTTCTTATTGAAAAAGAGTACTCAAATTTATGTTTGCGAATGTCACACACTGGCACCGGTGAAGTCTTAGCTGAGCATCGAGTAGAAAAGATAGGCGGATGAACGTGAAAGTGTTTCCAAGCGCCATGAAAAATTCTCCCAAGAAATAAAATAAAACAGCAATTTGTGGGTGAAATATCGGACGCCATAAAATACAATATGAAAAAAATAATGAGTGACAGCCTTGAGGGACTAATATTTAAGTAGGCCTACTGAAATGTTAAAATAGTTCGAACACTTTGTATCCAATAAGAACCACCCGGATGTTGCGGTATTTGATACATGCCTGAAGGATCACGTGATGGCCTTAGCGATTCCGTGAAACTAACCTTTTCGAACAGTCGTGAAGACATGACATCAGAGAACTTTGCTCACTTCTATCAATTTTTTCCTTCATCACCGCTAGATTGAAACACCCCATGCTTTGTGATTTGCATCGAATAACTGATTCTATATCAACATGAACGTCTACTTTTGTGACAGTATCGGAAACGGTTGGTGTTCCTTTTCGCATATGAACTGTGTCTATCGAAGTTACACTGCTGCGAAAATAAATTATTGGATGATAGTATATTTGGTGTTCTCGCAACTTTTTTCAGCACGACCCACGTTTTCGCGACCCTCAAATTTTGTAATGGACCGATGTGCTGGCATATTCTCGCAGCATAAAAGATCGAATCTTGGCACTACTGTTTCCAAATTTGATCGATATTTTGTTTCAACATAAGTTTTAGTGTCGAAAGAGATTTTTCACGCAGATAAGAGAAGATAAAAGGAAGAAAAGTAAACATGGCTAGTTCTGACAATAATGAGAAACGCAACCCTCTGAAGAGCCCTGGATAAGATACGAAACATATCCGGTTCCTGAAAATTGGCGAATCATATTACTGTTAAGTATCAGCTGCTATTTCTCTAAAACCATCCTACACTTTGGCTTGTTTGAAATTCATTGGCAAGTGGCTAGTACGCTTTCCTGGTTTGTAAAAACCACAGCGCTAAATTTCTAGGATGCAAAAGCACAGACATTTACCATAGCAACAAAAAGTAATTTAAAATTATGTAACTCACTTGTATAAATACTTGTGATATTGTAATTTGATCAATGCAATAAAGCAGAAAAGGGTAGGCACGGCGACAGACAAAATTGTCCAATAAAACGAGCATTTTCTAAAATACATTGGGTTAGTTATACAATCTATGTCATGACGTTTGTAACCACATCAGTGGCAGTCAGTGCAAAATGAGTTTTGATATCGGTTGTACCGGGATAACTCAACGCCTGACTCTCTCACGTGGTGGATTGTACCTAGGCACAATAGCCGTCATTGTAAAAATATTATCCCTAGTCGGAATACTTGAACCGACTGTATACCTTGCAAATTACTGTCTAAAAACAAATCTTTGTCTCACCTTGTACTCATTCTAACGATGAGTAAATGCCTGTAAATCCTACGCTTCACCAGCATATTTATCCATAGATACTAATTGCAACACGACTGCATATTACAGAGCAACAGAGCAATTTACTTCGCTTGTAAGAGGCGCTTTTCTGCATCGATTTTATCAATGGGTCGCATTTGAAAATACTTATTGTTGTAATATATTAAAACATGATTTTTAACTGCAAGTTTCCCCCAGAATCACATTTCCGTTATGATAGCAAAATGACTGAAATCTGTTTCGATTGAACACTGTAATTTCAATGAGATGTAGAGCGCCCGAGGGGCATATGTGGGATGAAATTGAACGGGGGTATCAGATGTCGATTAATATCATTTATCTATCATAAATATTACCAAAGAAACTCCAACTAAAATATTATGACAACTACTACAATTATATGTTATAGACAACATACTAACACCTCGAGTATAAGGTCTAGCGTATGTAAGCCTTGTATATGAAGCGAAGCTGTGATTAAATTGACCGATTTTAGCTCTATCTATTTATCAAATTCAATGAGCCAAGCGGCTGAGTAATACATTACATATTCAAAAGTTTCGCCATCTATGCTTCGGCCAACAATTGAATTGGCATAGTCAACTCTACTAGTATTATTCTTACCGGGGAATCAATGTATCGCGTCTAGTTTGAAAGAATATTACATTGGCATTTCACGTTTGACTAATTTTCAAACTTTTTTCCAATTCAATGCTGTCCCACAGTAACAGAAATCCTTATGACTAGGGCTGCGTCAAATTGAATTTTTTTTTTATCCGATTGGAACCGAATATTTTTCCTCGATCCGAACCGAATATTATTGCGCAATATTAAATCTGTCTCAGTTGTACAAGTAAAACTCCCCATTTGTACACATGGGGGTCATGAGTGTTAAAAGCCTCGGTAAGGGCCTACAAGGTTGGAAACCACTGTAATAGTGGGTCCAATAAATACGGTAGCTGGCGTTTTACGCTCAATACATTATTGGCATCTTTTTCGAAATATGATTTATTGTACACGTAATGGACCTATGGATCGTTTCAATATTATGTTGTTGTTCTTTGACACGTTTTTGGACACCTAGAGGAAAACCTAAAAAGTCAGATAAAAATTTTCTCCAGGAAGCTATTACTTTTATTTATTTCAAATATTTCTGTTAACTCTGTGAGATTTGTTTTGGTTTGCTATGACGTCACCGAACGTTCTGCGGACTCTTGATCACGTGCCATCGAACTTCGGCGTGAAGGTGGATTCTGAAAATCGTTGCTCAAAAATTGTAAATTTTTTGAGGTTACCGGTGATGCTAAAGGTACGGTAAACCGTACTGCACTGCTTATATTGGTGTGAATATATATAGACTGTGGTATCTGCTGTTATAATACTGTGATAAATCCATTGAGGTGTAAATCGAATTAGTTGGTTTTGCAAAGAAGAAGTGTCTGGCATTACAGGTATATTGGTAAGTTAAAACGTACCGTACCGCATGTGAATATCTGAGAATAATTTTTTTAATAATTTCAATCTTGTTCCAATAATGGAGAAGGGAATGACATGGATTACTTAGTATTTCAATTCATGTTGCAATTAATTGAATGGAGAATAATAGATCATTGGCACGGGACATGTGAAATGGGAGGCAGACAACTCGACTACACACGGACAACTCACCAGATACAACTCGACTACAGCTAAGCCTGGTGAGTTATCCGTGTATTCGAGTTGTCCATCAGCCGTAAACGGCTATGACAGTCACTGTACCAAAAGCTGTACTTCGATTCAGATGGTGTTGAATTGACGCATGTTATTTAGTAACGTTTTTATGTGAAATGTTTGACTGTGGTACCTGATACGATACATAATTGACTCATAGAACGAGATATTTCAATATATTCAAGAAGTATGGATCAATGTCACAGGACCTAAAATAAATATGACAGTCTCTGTACCGTCACGGTACCCCGATACAGGTACTGGTAAGTCACCGCATATGATTTTTGAGGAATTGTCTGCTTGTCCACATATTTGAGCATTGCTCTCTTGTCATTTTTTTAGTATTGGAGCAATAAGAAGTCTAAATGATATATTCAACCATGAACTCAACTCCCACCTGGTTTACCGTCGGGATATAATGTGCCAAATAGCTTCCTAGTCGCTCAATCGATTGGGGGAACTTCCTCGCTGCGACAATCATTATAAAAATTCAGCTTGTAACTACAGACGTATCACTTTTAATTAAACTTACTGTGGAGTCGTACAGTTGTTTTAAGAAGTAAATTTAGCACTTAACATACATGATATGTATTAGATTGGATAGAAATATTCTACTTTGGATTACCACGTTTCGATTATGGAAACTCCGCTTGTGTCTTATTCAATTTGTTGTTAGATTTGATTTATGATCATCTGAAATCCAAACTCTGGGTTATTCAAATTTTAACTCTGACCCTACAAAGTTCAAAAGTAAGAATGATACTATAACGTCAGGGGAAATTTCTCGTCTCACAGTCCTGCACACTCATTCATAAAATTATTTAACGCCGTGTTAACTTTACAAAATGATTGAAGGGCACAATTAATCAAGCATACTGCTAAAGTTAAAATAAAGTGGAGGATTTTTTATATCGAGCACTGCTTGTGAACAGAAATGAAAACTACTAGAGTTTGGAAACACTCGTCCAATAAATGTATCGACATTTGCCTGATGTGGGAGGATTTCGATTATGGAAACTCCGCTTGTGACCTCTTCAATTTCTTGTTAGATTTGATCTATGATTTATGAGCATCTGAAATCCAAACTCTGGGTTCAAATTTAAACTCTGACCCTACAAAGTTTGAAAGTAAGAATGATACTATAACGTCGGGGGTAATCCCTTGTCTCACAGACCTGCACACTCATTCAGAAATTATTAGAACCGTGTATCTTGACGAAACGAGTGAAGCACAATTATTCAAGCGTATATATATACTGCTAAAGTTAAAATAAAAGTGGAGGATATTTTATATTGAGCACTGCTTGTGAGCAGAAATAAAAAGTAAAGAGTTTGCATAAAGAGAATATTTTGCATTGGAAACACTCGTCTAATAAATGTATCGACATTTGCCTAATGTGGGAGGATGAAAATTTCACACTCACGGAGTTTTATTCATGTATCAGAATACGATTTTGGAAGCTCTCCCAAATTGTTCTGCCTAAATAAATTTCTTAATTCGCCAAGTGATTTTCGAATCGTAGTTTTTACTTCTTCATCAAAAAGATAATACGGGAACTCCGACTTTGGTCTTTTGAAGGACCCGGTGTGATCAAGAATTAGGCACACCAGTCTGTCTTCCAGACTAGGAATATATTTTTCCATCAACTTTCTTGGAAAAAAATTGACAACTTTTCTCATCTGAGGCAGCAGATTGTCCATAAGATCCTCATATAAAACAACAACTTTGTCTCCTTTAACGTGTGTGAAATATCTTTGAAGTCTGCGAAGCCACTCCGGTGCACTCTTTGAAATATACGCCTTGAAAACTACAAAGAAAAAACATACATTCTCAAAGCCAGAGTTATCTTAGAACACACACATGTTAGGTAGGCTATTGCCTACCTTCGGGTGTGAGTTTTTCATCATCCACTGTCCCAACATGACCAGAATATTTTCTGTGATAGTCCGCCAGTAACGCATGAAATGGATTTCGTAAAAGTATTATTGCACGTTTGTAATTTCGATTCTTCTCCTTCATGAAGTGATCCTTTACCGCCAATGTCCTGCCAGAATTGTAAGTTGTACATTCGCCGATAAAACCTGAATGGTTGAAAACTTTATTACTGTGCGTTGTTATTTATGGAATCAGCAGGTTCACTTTAGAAGCATAAAATTATTGGGTTCGGAAACAGCAAGACAAGCCATTGAAACGCGTCATTTTCAAACATTATTGCAGTTTCATTTGAGTCCTTGGTAACTAATAACATTGCACCATCAAATACCGACAGTTATTTATTTACTCGGCGGTATCTAGAGTGTGGGATTAAATGAAGGCATTTTAAAAGAGTAGATTAATTTGCCTACGCACGTTAACGGAAGACTCGGCAAATATTTTATTACTCTCGCGTTTATTTCACATGCACGCACCTCCTTTACGCAACCTTTTATCGCCATAAGATGAGCCTGAATAAATTCCAGTAGCGACTTCAAGTAAATATCGCATCCAGGTGTTTCCCGATCCTGGTGGACTCGCGAGAGCAGTCACAGGAGATTCGTTTGGTTCTAAAAATGCGCGACTCGAGCAAAAACGATTTTCCTGGTAAGTGTGATAAAGATGAAAAGATTTTTCTTTGCTGCTTCCGTCACATTGTTTAAGTAATGTTTCCAACTCCGTGGCATTACGAAATCTGCAATAAAAAATACTGAATAAATACTTATATATGTATCAAATAAAGTTTGTACAATATTATATATATATATATACCACCTCCGGGGAATTGTCACCAGTTGTAAGATTAATATCTTATCCGAACAGTTTGTAATCAATCGCTTAATCATCTCTGAGAGATATTCTCAGTGGTGGGATTCTTTGTATCGACGACAGGTTCCCTCATACTTTACTACGTAAGATATATCAACATGACACGCTTCAAAAAAATATAATATATAACTTTCGAAACCCCAAATATTACGCCAGTGATTAACTGCGGTGCACATTTGCTGCGGTCGTCTAATGTCTAAGGCAAAAAAACAAGAACGGATTCGCTGAATATCACTACATTCCGAGAACGGCTCCGGCGGACTCCCCGATTCCCGCCACTTGAAATGAAAAGTATCCCCTGTAATAACAATCGATTGTCCTAATACATTATTTAACTTACACTGTCCTCGGTTCAAAGCATAGGCAAGTAGTTTTTTCGTGACTCTTCATCGCGAGTGGAAATTTTCTTTCTTCGCACAAATATATGCATTTTTCGACGGATGGCGCACTTGTTCTGAATACCTTATCCTTGTCAAACATAAATATTTGGGGTAGCAGTGGAACACAACCTACGTAATATTTTGGAACAAGAGCTTCAGGAAACCCTGTAAAGTACGAAAGACTGTTTTTCACAACTATTTTCTTTTGCAGAAACAGATTTGAGTAATCTAGGCTTGTTTTGTCTTTACAAGAGTTAATTAAAAAAACGTATGCGGTAGAGCTCGACCGATATAT